GAATCTGAAGGCTTCTCCCCTGCCCGCAGCAAGCCAACAACTCATCTGTTGTCCCTTCCATGTACCATCTGGGTGTCACTGGAGGTAATTCCCAGCTTGACGCCTCGCCAGAGGCAGTGAGGGAGGCCCCAGTTCAAGAAAAGACAAAAGGGTTCTTTCTTCATCAGCATTAACCTGAGGCAGCTCTCGAGAAAAATTCTGGGCAATTAGTGGAGCATAAGAAGATTTATAATTGAAATCTAGTTTGTAGCACTACAGGTGGCTCCCTCAAAAGACATTTCTCATCAACAACAACAAAAAAGGGAAGAATGGGGGGGGGGAGAACTAGTTAAAGAGTTTCAAAATCTCGACGAAAACTCCATTTAGTTTAACATTGCATGATAGCTTTCATAATTCAGAACAAAGTGCAAAGCTCTTTAATGAGGCCATTAATGACCCTTTAATTTACTCCACCAGGGCTGAATTCATAAAACATTTATGTTCCATTTACACAGGATTTGCCTGCGACTCTTCGGGGCAAGTCAGCACTGCAGCGCAGGTGGGATGAAACGAAGGCTTGGTGCTTCTGTTCCCCCTGCTCTGCTCTCCTCCTCACCCTGCTGCTACAGCTCTGCATGTGCCTTTTAATTCTGCTAGAGAAACTGCAGGGACCCTGGGGGGGGAAAGAGCCTTTTTTGACCCTTCTGCATGGTAAACAGATGCAGAGCTTCCTCTTACATTTCTGCTTTAGGAACAGTGAAACCCTTTTTAAGATCCAGCTGGGGCATCGCAAGCCAGATTTAGGTTGTTTTTTTTTTTAGGATCATTACAGCCCAGCTCCAGTTCAATATTCACCTGTCCTCCCTGTAGCTCTATCAGGTTTGCTACCTGGGGGAAGGCTATCCCACCAGACTGGGGCAGAAATGGAGGATGGAAGGATGCAGGTGTGGGAAGCTCCCTGCAGCAGGAACAGGGGGCTCTTCACCTCATTCAGCACTGAGCAAAGGTGACATCTGAATCACAGGTCATGCTCCAGCCCAGCTGCCTTTGGATCCAAACCAAGCCCTTTCTCTCTCACCAGTTTTTCTTCTCCTAAGGGTTTCACACAGGGAGAGACGCACAGGGATATGGTAAACTCTTACATCGGTTGAAACATCTTTAAAAAAAGAAACACTCTTCCTCGTTTATCCCAAAGATCTCACTCTCATGGCTCTAGAAGATGTCAGTTTTTAAGCACCTTCAGATAAAAAGAGCCATTAATTATTGCAAGTGCATTCACATCATCTGAAGTTTGCTCTTAGCAGCCTTCTGACATTCACCACTTCTGGTCTGCTTCTGGCCTTGATGAAAGGAGGGTTTCTTGCACCAGCAGCCCATGATTCGCTGCAAACTGAACTTCTTCAGGCACCTGTGCTGTTCTCAAAGAGAACCTTGCCACACCTGCCAGGGCAGGACCATCCTAACAGGTCCCCAAGGAGGGACTGCAGGGGAAAAGGGGCGGCACTGGAGGCTGAATGGGACTCTAGAGAGGGATTTGCAAAGAGAACAAACTCCCAGTCCAACTCAGGAGGACACAGGTCCCACAGTGCCTGGAGAACCAGGCGTGGAAAGCCTCTGCAGAGAGGCAGAGAAGATGCTTTCAGGCTGTTGGCAGAGAAAGAATTTGGAGCCCATTGGAGAATATGTCAAGAGTCAACATCCATCATGTCTACAAGTGACAGGAACATTCTGCGCCTGAAGGCCTGAGAGCTGGCTCTCCCTGCAGGATGGGGCTGGTGAAGAGTGGGGACACTGGCTCAGTAGGAGTTTTATTTTCCATAGCACTTGCCCTCCTCTCCTCAATCTCAGGTTGGGTTGTCGCTCTCATTTCCCTCTTCACCTCCGGTTTTGCTGACGCAAGTTGGAAACCTGACGGACCATCAAGGTACTGACACTGTTTGCTTCGGGATGGTTCATGAGTCATCCTCCCTGCTTCACAGCTAAAAGGATTGCTGATGCTGATGTCCTCAGAAGGGACACATCAGCAGGAACATCACTACATTTGAAGCTATGTCAGTGCTCATCAGCACTGGGCTGTGCATGCAGGTTTATTATTGTAGGGTCTCCAGCACACACTGGGTCCTGCACACCAGGTTTGTTGTTATGGGGTCATTCTTTTGTTTTTATCAACTTTGGGGAAGGAAGCAGAGAGGAAGATTGCTTGACCTACCTGGTTCATTCATGCAGAACTGCTGTGCAACATAGAGTCAGATTTGTCAGAACACTTACATCACAAAAAGAGACTAAGGCCAAAAGAAATTTTAAGCATGGTTAAGGAAAAAACAAACAAACAACAAACTAGCCCACAGATATACAGTCCTAGGGGGAGGAAAACGGGACAGCACTTACCCAAGCACTCTAAGTGATGTTGGAATTTCACATTCAACACTTCTAAGCACTGGAAGTGGCAGGAGCCTGGCACAATACAGGATAAATAGAATTCCAAAGCACTCAAGTCTGAACAGGGGGGGATCTAAGTTTCCTTGCTGAAATCACAAAGAGGCACGAGAGCAGCAGCACTGAGGAGACTGTAGAGAGGGACAGCTGTCCCCAGTGTTGGGATCACTCCTGGGACACTGCCCTGTACAGTGATGGTTGAGTGGCAGAGAGCAGGGAACAGAGCCAGGTCTGAGAGCTCAGAGACCTCCTTCCTGCTGGCAGCTGGGGGGTCGTGCTGCCCTTGGCTCCAGCAACAAGGGGCCCTCACTTTATTGCCGTGTGACTCCCAGAGTCAGCAAAGCAGGAACCCCATTCAAACCGAACACTGGGTCGTCTACCAAGCAAAGGCTGCTATTTAGTTAAAAACACACAGCCTCTTATTATTACATTTCCCTGGAAAAAAATTATGTTTGAATTAGAGAGAAAAATATTTAGTGAAAAAATCAAAGATCCACGTGCGCATGGAGTCCTCGACATACCATAAAGACTCCGTACCCTGTTCAGCACATCTCTGCATACAACAACCATCTCTAGGTAAGCCCACAGCCAGAGGTTAGGTTGTCCACACTGACACAGCGGGCAGCAGCTACAGGCTGGTAAAGCTGCCCAGGTCTGCACTGATTTCTTACCCTTTCCAGATGGCTGCAAGAGCTGAGACACACTTGAGGGCATGCAGTATGTGAAGCCAACAGACATACCACAGTTATGAGGATCTTTTCATATTTTAGCCATGCCTAGAAGCACAGTTTCAGCCACAGCTGAAAGACATTTGCATATATATCCGAATGATCTGAGCACCTCTTGACAGCCCAATGTCTCTACCACCACATCTGAGCACAGAGACACCTGAGGATCCCCACGCATTCATTTTCCTTCTGCTGCTTTAAACCACCCAGGAGAGGGCAGCTGGGATATTGCAAGCCTCAATCTGATCACTTCAACAAGTGATCCAAACCCTACAGGAGCAGGGGTGACACTCACAAGGTGCCTGTGCAGTGAAAATCATGGTGGTTTTACAGCTGAATCATGAGCTGGAATGAACCCTTCAAGGCCATCTGGTCTGACTCCCCTGCACTGAACAGGGACTCCTACAGCTGATCAGGTGCTCAGAGCCCCGTCCAGCCTGACCTGCAGTGTCTGCAGGGATGGAGCAGCCACCACCTTTCTGGGCAACCTGTGCCAGTGCCTCACCGCCCTTACTGCAAAAAACTTCTTCATTATATCCAGCCTAAATCTACCCCGTTTTAGTTTGAAACCATTTCCCTTGTCCTATCACAACAGATCCTACTAAAAAGTGTCCCCTTCTGTCTTACAGCCCCTTTAGATACTGAGAGGCTGCTCTCAGGTCTCCCCAGAGCCTTCTCTCCTCCAGGCTGCACAACCCCAGCTCTCAGCCTGTCCTTGTAGGGGAGGTGTTCATCCCTCCAGTCATATGTGTGGCCCTAAGCAGGATACAATCAGAACACCAGTGGGAAAGCCCTGCAGGGCTGTTTTTCTTAGCACAGCTGCTGGATCTTCTAATCAAGGCTATCAGATATACTGATATCATGCTTATAATGGTATAACTCTATATCAGTGTAGTGGCACAATGGATTTACAAAGGAGCAGTATATGCAGAAATAGGCATTCATGCTTGCTAATCCCTCATAAGCCTGTAATCCCGATTCTTTTTTTTCCCCAAATAATAAGTGCAGATCTATTAAGACCCTATCACTCCCTGCGTGCTAAATTCTTTTTTTCCTGCCTGGAATCTGCTATGTACCCTGTATGTGCATGGCAGGGCACAGGGTAATGTGCCACCAGCAGCAACAATGGATGGCGCACGCTGAAATCTTACCCTACAGCTCCACTTGCACCACCAGCAGGAGCATGTGGAAGCAGTCACAGCTTCACCAGTTCTTGTTTATGGAGAGCCTGAGGATGCTTTCTGGAAGGCATTTCTACATCAGAGTGAAACACATTTATGTGCAAGCAGTAAGCAAGGGGACACCATTGAGGTTTGACAGCCTCCCCCCATGCCAGCCTGGCAGAGGTTTCCTACATTCCTCTCACTGGCTGTGCTGCCAAATCCACACCTCCAGCAGCAACCCCAGCCACAGACAGCTACTTCCAGGGAGTCTCGGTACCAAACAGCTTTTTACAACCCTTTTGTAGCTGACCACATGTGTACAACCTGGAAAGAACCCTTCCAGAAGTGACAAAGTAATAGTCACTAATTACACAATTAATTTATTCTTTGGCACTAATAAAAAAAAAAAAAAAAGGATTTTCATTACAAAGGAGGGTAAAAACAATCTAAGGATTTGTTTAATTAAAACTACAATGTACTAAAAATACAAATAATCCTAATGATACAGACAACATTGTAATTGAGTAATTAGTAATCACCTACAGAAACCATGTTTCTCTGTCTCTAAAACCGCTGATTTTTCTTCTTGCTGTTTGTTTTTCCCTTTTTATTGCATGTAACCATCCTCAGGGCACGCAAATCACAACAGCAAATTGCTGCACACAAGCTGCTGGCTCCATGTGCCATCCCTTACCTGCAGGCAGAGGCACTGCATCCACACTGCTTGCATCCCAATCCCCATTGAGTTGCTCCGTGTCCCTCTGTCCATGACTAACACTTCTGTACCAGGGCAGAATTGTGACTCCAGCCACGAATTGCTGTTGGGATGGAGCTGACAGGCAGAACAGGCACAGCCTTCTGAAAAGGGAGCCAAGGAGCAAACTGTTAGCCCAGCGCTATATATATATTATGCTTACATGTCCCGGTGTTAACCAATGTTACATATATATTTTAAGTATTCATATATTCATAGCTATAAAGGCCCTTTTTCTACTTGAGCTAAATTGTATAGCCGTGACCTATTGTCCCAGAAGGCTTTTTATTCTTGTTAAATGGGCACTGAGATTATAACGCTCCTTGCTAGTAGGTGCAGCAGTGTTCTGGAGCAGACAGGGAAGATGGATGGTCCTGCTGAAGCTCAGCAAAGAGGGCAAAGCAACTCATGACACAGACACGAGAGCTGAGCAGTGCTGCAGTGTGCCTGGCTTCGTGTTCCTCATCCCTCCCCAAAAAAGATACAACCAAACAGCAGAAGGGGCTGGCTGTGCCCTGGGAGAAGGCAAGGCTGTCACCTAGCCTCCCTATACATGGCTCCTGGGACTTGTCACCTGTATGCTGTCAGAAGAATGGGGACAAGGCTGGCACCGGTGCCAGGGTGCATGGATACCGTGTCCCCTTGCTCTGACACAGGCAGGGTGGAAGTGGCAGCAAGCTGGCTGCTCCGCCGGTGCCAGATGGTGGATGAGATTAAAAGAATTTGATTTTCAAATAATCCATAAACCTGGCTGAGCTAATGTCGTTTCATATGCATTATCTTGTAATCCCAGGGAAGAGAGCATTTCAGAGCAAAGAGCCTTACTCTCCCTCCCTGCAAGGACTCTAACAAGCTATAGATAATCCCCTTTTTGTTGGAAGGTGCTTAGGGGAAGCGACAACACCCAGCGAGGGGCTGCGGCTGCACAGCTCCATGCCCGGGGGGACAAGCAGCTGCCTGGCACTGCAGGGGCCGTCTCACCCTTAGCACTGTAGGGTCAGGGGCAGCAGTTGGCAAAGCCAGAACCCCGGGCGATAAGGGAGAGTAAGGAGGGATTTTTGCAACTCCTGCCCCCTCATGACACGTGGAAGCCCAGCAGCCCCAAGCATTCTCCATCATCAAACCCAGCTGCCTGATCCCTGCCTCATTTCCCTGTCCTAGAAATTCCACTGAGCGCCTTGTTACCCACTGAGCCTCCGTGGAGCAAACGCGACCCACTGCTGGTCCTTGGAACCCTTTGGAGTTCAAGCCACCACGTTAAGAACTAGCGATCCCAACTCCAGGTTTAGGTTCCCCACTCTGGAGCGGGTGACTTTAAGGGGAAGGGATGGGAAGCTCCACGATGGGATTTCCCAGTCACTGTCTGCCATCTAGTGCCCAGCACGGAGCACAGGCAGCAAGCAGCGTGCAACCCCATCCTTGGAGGAATTTCTCTTACGCTGGAGCCACGATGCGATCACTGTGCTCCCAGTGCAGGGAGTTCCCCACCCTGCTCCTCCCTCTGCACCAGGGAAAGGGTTTGGAAATCAAACAGCCCAAATCCTGGAGGGATTTAATAAGGAAAAAGGCCCAAAGCAAAGGGAGGTGACTGCACAGTGCTGCCCAAGAGCACCCAGCACAAGCCTGATGTGCAGGGGCCTCAATAGCAGCTTGTAAGTGCAGTGCCCAGCTACAGCAAGTTAACTAAATGCAATACATGCTGCTTTGTAACGTGCTGCTATCCTCAAGGTCATGATGCTGTTGTCAGCAGCTCCAAGCAGAACGGTGCGCGCTCGCATTGTGTGAGGAATGCCACAGACAGGCTAGGAACAGGGAGTGTGAGGGAAAGGGGTAAGGTGTGATGCTTGTCAGCAACGTGGAGGTGGACAAACTACAGAAAAAAAAGGCAGGGAACAAAAATTAAGAAACAAAACTAAGAGACACCGACCGTAATTCAGGTACTGTAGGTGTTGAAGACACCAGTAAAGTTTCCCGACCAGATCAATCCATGGGAAACCACTGCAGCAGGAACGTGGCACCAGCAGCCACCCCATCACACCTCACTGCTCTCCTAAAGCTCAGCCAACATCCCCAGCCCGTGCCCTGGGTAATACCACAGCTCAGAGACAATTGCTGCTTTGTGGAGGCACACATTGGTGTTTGACACAAACAGGCTGCAGCGGTCATTTGGAAAAGCCAGCCAGGGCAGCAGCTCACAAACACGCAGAGCCAGAGTTACTGATTAGCACAGGGCTCCAATTTCCTTCAGTGCTTCCAAAAAAAGCACTAGGCAACATTAACGAAAGGATTACACAGAATTCAAAAGCAAATGGGATTTGTGGCCTGTTGTATTAACCGGGGACTGGAGAAAGCTCTACAGAGAGAGAACACTGGTGGCAGGTCACCAAACCAATTATTAAGAGCTCACAGATCACAAAGCTGGATACATACACACATCAAGACAAGTTTCTGTTTGCCTGCAGAAGCAGAATGCTGGCTGGACCACCCTCCCAGCCCAGCATGCTTTTTCAGTGTGTCTATTAAACCTGGATTATACCTGGTTACTTTCCCCAGTAACTCACTTCCCCCACAGGTTTAATGCAGAGGAATAACATTTGGGAGGGTGAAACCTGAAAGGAGAAACATAATGGGCATAATTACTTTGATAGATGAGAGAATGCAGAAAGCTGGCATGCAGCATGAGGAGGCAGCAGCCTGCCCCTGGGTGCAAACCTTTACCTGTGAAATCTTGCAAGCTTTGTCTCATGTAATTATAAGATGGGATGACCACAGTGGCTGTGTAAGGGGCCGGCTCCTTCTAGCACTCTTCTTGCTTCTGGAGGGGGCTTTGATGAGGCCATGAGTCCTGAACCCACTGCAAAAAGGCTCTATTGCCTTGCCTGAATTTTGAAGTTTTACGTCAGCTCAAAGTCCCTTCATGTTTCAATCAAGAAGTGTCCTTGTGTCTCCAAGCATTGCCTATGAAGTCCTGCCAAAGGACCACAGTCTGTAATGGAAACGTAGTCTCGACAGTGAAGCTGTATCCAGAACAACCTGAAGGGCTTCCAGCTGCCAGCATTTTGTGCTTACCTCACAAATGCCCAGGTTTGCTTTTTGTGGGCTTGGTGTTGAGGTCTCAGCAAAGTTTCTGGAGCAATTTTACCAACTTCCAGTTTTCTAGTAGCTCTCCTCCTTTTATACCAGTCTTTATCTTTGCAAAGGAGTGCAGCACTCTGCCTGTGCCACTCGGTGTTCACCCAGAAATGGGAGGGAAAAAGCATCACTGAAGCAGAAAGATGAGACATAACCCAACCACATCACTGGTGACCTATCTTAACCAGACCTCCCAGGCCATTTTCTGCTGGACCTCCTAGATGCCCTGAGCAGAGCATCCCATGATGTTTTCCATGAAGGCTTATGCAGTACTCACAGAAACCCTGGGAACTGATGAAAAAACTCCTTCCCAAGAGACAGACCCATTCCAAGACACAGGAAGCTTATGCAGAACAAGAGAGGTGGAGCCACAGAAGATCCCTCATCCTATGGGACAAAACATGGGGTGAACCCAGAAACTGGGATGGCCTCATTCACCTAAGCCAGTCTATCCCTTGCCCTTGCAGGAAGGGCCAAACAGGGCAGCTTTCCCTGTTCTAACAAGCTCTGAGTTGTATTTGGGAGCAATAGTATCTCTCCTTATTCAGGTTTTCAGAGAGCAGGAAGCAGTGTAGCCTGTGGCTCCGGAGGCCTCTCCTGGCTGTAAATGCATTTATCTTCCAAATACTGAGGTATTTTAGTTGCTTGGAGCCAGACAGAAGGAGAAAAAAAATAAGTTTCCTTTTACATGAGAAAGCATGCAGTTCTGAACAGTTTGGTGTTACTGTATCACAAAACATGCAAAGGTGGTTCTGCTTGAAGGCCACCAATTCCCAAAACTCCTGCTGACAGGGCAGGATATCAGCTAAGGAAGTTATTTTGTAGGGGAAGCAGCAGAAATCTGTTCCTGTGAAGTTGAGAAGTGGTTTTAGTAGGACCTGTTATCTCTCCATTGCTGGAGAGGGCAGCTAGCATCCAATTTGTCACAAAGAAAGCCTTCACCTCTCTCTTCTAACACTGTGACTGAAGCAGTAAGTTCAACGGAGGAGTTTCAGACTGCAGTTGATACTTACATTCATTTCTGCTTCTGGAGGTTTTTGCAATGGCTGCTACACTGCACTGCACCAAGGAAAGGTCCTCCAGATAGATATGCATCTTTCTGTGTTGAGGGCAGAATGATCCGACTTTTGTGTACTGCCCTCACGAACAGGAGTGCTCTGTGCAGAAAATGGCTTTGAAGAGCAGAAAGTCTCTGCAGTCTGTCAGCACTCTGCAGCTTTCTCCCCAGGCTGTGCAATGTGGAGAAGATAACACTCCAATAATGGCCTTGGCAGCTGCAGTACCAATCCCACATTGGACTTCTCAGCTGAGCTCCACACGGCTGCTCTCAAAGTGAGGAATCACAGGAGGCCCTTTCCAAAACACAGCTCTCTGACACACACTTCACAGGAGAGCTCTTCAATTGATCTGACAGTGCCTTGCACTAGAGAGCTACAGCAAACCTGGTGCCTTTCCAGCCATCCGCTGCTGCTTCACATGCTGATGGAGAGAGCTCATGAGGAGGCAAAGCCAAAGTGAGAAAAACCTTGAGGCTCTGGGAGCAAACAAGCACCAAACTTCCCAAACAAACAGGCAAATACTTGCATAGTTCTCTGTCACACTTGCAAGGTGAGCTTCATGTGTTTCGCTCAGCATAACTCATCTGCTTCCCCTACTCTTTGCTGGGCTGCATTCAAGGCAGCTCTCTCCTAGCCACAACTTGAGAGGTTTCTTCTGCTCCAGCAGGGAGAGGGGCTCTCTCAGGAAAGGCCCCAAGGTGCTGTGCTGGCCTTTCAATAGATAATGGTTAAAATAGATCAGCTACCTGACCAGACCTGCAGCTTCACAAGGAGTATGTGTAAGTTTGCACAGAGTGAAAAATTAACTTGTAGCCACAGATTTCTGAAAGTGCCACTGTGATCTGCTACAGGACCTTTGGGAGTAGAGAAAACATGCAAAAAACATCTCCTTTCCCCTAGGAAATCTCCATGGTATGCTGCCTTCCCCCTCACAGAGGCCAACGGGAAGGGCAACACACAGAACAAGAAGTGAACAAAAGCACCCAAACAAGGGGATCAGGGATTGTTTGCAGCAACTAACTGAGGGTTTTAAATAGAATAAACTGCAGGGGAAAAAATAAAAATAAAAGGCTATGGTCCTATGTAGACTGGGAGCAGCAATTCTTGTTTTAGGTGCTGAGGAAGCAACAGTTTCAACTTTGAGAGGAGACTCGGTTTCCTGTGCCCCCACTGCCTAGAAGAACAAAGACCTGATCCTGAGGAAGAAAGAAACAAAATTTAGAGCTGTTGATTCTGACCCATCCAGTGCTAGAGGGAGCTACTCCTCTCAGTACAGACAGTGCTGAGACTCACTGCTTGAGCAAGCCAGAAAAGAAGAATTGTCCAGGTTCAAGATGAGCAAGCTTCCTGTACAGCCTTTTCTCTCTTTTGTGCACCTAGATTTGAGATTAAAAATGCACTGATTAAATACTATCTTATATACTTTGAAAGTCTCACGCACAAACCTTCACCACAAAACCTGCCTTTGGCATGGGAAGTGAAGAAGAGAACTTGGCAAGGAGCTCAACCGAGCCTGCACCCACAAAGCTCTGCTCAGAAGCTGCATGCTACAGAGCTAGCAATAGCTTGAAATGGGGGCAGAGAACAGCAGAATCCAGAGCTGCCTGCATCCATTGCCCCAGGCTGCTAGGGATTCCAGGGGCACAGCCTGAGGGGAAGGACTCACCTCACCCCTCCACAGGAGCTTTAAGTCTCAGAGAAGGCAGTGCTGACCTCCAGACAGCGGCCAAAAGATCTGCAGTTTTGCAGGCATGTATTCTACTCCACATTTACCTCCTCTTTGTAAATGCCCTCCACTGCAAACAGCCTCCTTTGACAGTTCTGTAAGGGTGTTTCAAGAAACCAAGTTTTGTTTATAGTTTATGACAAGCCTTCAGCTCTCAGCTGCCCAGCATTAGAAAATGAGGCTACTGAGCTACTCCCAACCCCAATGGCTCATGGAGTGATTAAGAACAGCTTTAATTTGAGGTCTGCAGCTCTCAAAGGATTGATGAAATATACATAGCAATCTCCAGCTCCACCTCTGTAAGCCAAACACTTTCCAGATGATTAACAACACCCATTTCCTCCCTCTCCCTGCAAAGTCTAACCAGTGCTGGGCTCACATTCTGAGTGTAACACTGCAATGTGAAGGAAAACACAGCAATGACAGTGGAATAGCAAAGTCTTATGTTGCAGGAAGTGAGGATATGCTCAAATGCAGCAGCTGTGGACACCTAAACAAAGAAAAAAAGAAATCTGCTTACCCTTGGAAAGCCTCGGGTATGCAGGAATCTCCATCAGCATCCCCTTGCCTCCACTGCCAACCCTCAAATGAGGTCTGGTAAGGGGTGGATCCTGGTTCTACCCCTTCCAGTCACTCAGATGCATTGCATTGCATACATCTGAGTTCCCCTGGGTTAGTCCTGCCTTCCCACCAGGTGCTCAATCACTGTTTTAAGCTGTAACTTAGCATTTCCACTACACTAACAGTAACACAACCAGAAAAAGCACTTTAAGAAACACAACCAGACCAGAGAGATGAGACTGTGCCATATAAGCATAAGATAGCCCTTCTAATAAACAAATTGGAGGAATAGGTTCAGGCTACCTGAGACAGACTCAGCTGGGCTGCGTTAGCCGTGCTGCCCTAGTACACTGGGAACAGGAGCTGAGAATCAAAGCCACCTTTGAGGCTGCTCACAGGAAGTAGAAACACTAGAGCTGCCTTTCCTCTGCAAGCAAAAGTCAGCCTTTCAGCCCAGAAGGAACTGCTGATCAAATAGTTCTCCCCTCCAGAGTTACCAGTTTCAGGCCCAAGGGGACAGTGGCGTAGGTGGAAAAGTAGCAGTCATCTAAAGAGCTACTGCCTGTTTCTCATGCATCTTTCCACTCAAGGTCTTTCTGGGGCCAAACGCAGCTCCAACATGGACAAAATGTAACAAAGCACTGAACAACTGCAGCCTCCAGCTCCCCAGAAACATGCGTTGCCCAGCCCTGTTAGCCCTTACTTGCTGCCTGCGATCCAGTACTAGCAGTCTTGTTTCTGGCTAGAGGAACCTAAATCCATGGGTGACACTGTAAGGAAATCTCAGCAAGCAGGGACAATGAACTGCTTACCTTTAGAGAAGTTCCACAGGATCACACAAGGAGCTCAGCCAACGTGTCCAGAGAGATCAAAGTGTTGCTGGAAACACTGGTGGAGCTGCCTCAGGCCTGCAAAGCTAATCCATGGATAAGCATCTGACTGCTGCTCTGCTGCTCTGAGCAATGTGCATATCCTCCCCAGAGCAACATAACAACCTGGAAGAAAACTACAGTTTCAGAGGCTGGAATGATGCCAAAGAAAATCACCCCCGTCAGTTCTCCCATTATCTAGCTGGCTAACCCCCCCCCTTACACCTAAGAACATCATCTGCCAGCTGGAAACAAATGTAACTATCCAGCACTGCTCTTAGTTAAGAGCAGTTGCCAGAGATGAGCATTGGCCATTGCTTAGAAGAAACCATTTGAGCTCCAGACCACAACAGGAGTCTGGTGAGGAGCCTCCTAGGTACCACAGCCCCAGGGAACCACATGCTTGGAGAAGAACAGATCACAACACACATTTCCAGAAAAGGTGGAGGAGGATTCAACAAGAGCAAAGAACTCCCTGAGGAGAGCTTCACTTGGGAGTATAAAGTTTTAATATTTATTTAATACAGGCCTGGTGAAGAGAACTGGGAAATAAGGCAAAGGCAGTTTATCCTCCAGAGTCCTGCTTAACATCCCATTCACACAGACCACACGAAGCAGCAGCTGTGCTCCTCCCCAGAGTCACATTCCACATCTTCCCCATCTGCCTGAGCACAGCCTATCACTTATAAGTCCAGAAGGAATCGATTGATTTTTTTCAGGTATTCCGACTTCAAGTAATCTCCCAGCTCATCCTTTGTAACCCACAGATAATCTTTCTTCAGCTCTGCCTGGGACAAATCACTGCTTTGGAGGAAGGCTTTGTAGAAGAATACTTTGGCTCCCACGTTATCCTCAGTCCTGATGGCCCTGGGGAATTTATACTTGTAAATCCCATATGGTGCATTCCCCAGGATTTTGGCTTGAATGTGTTCGCCTGCAAGACCCCAGCAAAGAAAACAGAAAGCAAAACATAAGACACAGAGCAATAGTAATTGCACTTTCATAGTCACAGACACACAGCATATGACTTTATATCTGGTTCAGGCTGTTCTCTCTTCTAGCAGAAATACTGCCAATTTTAAGTCTCTTCTCATGAAAAAGTGACTTGTCTGAAGCTCAGCAAGTCCTTGCAGAACAAGGGAGAGAGCATCACACTCTGCCAACACACATCAAAAAGCAAGGAAATGCAGGTTTGCTATCACCCATCTGCCACAAAAGCTGATACAGGGCAACAAGACTGAAAGAGAAGCTGCACACTTAGAGCAACCATTCAGGGGACATCTAGTGAAACTCAAACATCAGACTGCAAGAGCTTCACACTGCAGCTGCTGGCAGTCAAAAATCCCAGCCCCTAGCCTGCTGGCTCCGTCAGCCCCTCACAATGCAGTGCTGCTGAGCACAGGATCACAGCTCTTGCCAGAAACCCCACCACACTGGGTATATCTCTACGCCACAAAATACCTCTTCCCAGCAGATGGGAGGCGATTTTGCTACAGATGGTGAATATCTCTTAGGTAGGGCAAGGGGAAAAAAAAACAACTTGGACAAAGAGGAGCGAGAGACAGGCACACAGCAGACTACATACCTAAAAACGTAGCCATGGCTCGCTCAACTGTGCTTCGCAGAGTCTCTCCAGGCTGCCATTCCGCTTGAGGCAGGAGCCACAGCTCTTGGTTACCAATTTTCTGTTTCACCAGCAACATCAGGTTACTGTCCAGCTTTCTGTTCAATGATGTTCGATCATTTTTTTTATCAGCCTCTGCCAAAAAAACAACACATGCTGGAAATAAAGTCTCCTGGCCACACTGGAATCGCTATGATTCATCACCTCTCTTTATCTTATATCCTTCCAACAACACAGACACACAGATATCTGAAACAAGAATCTAGCCAGCATTACTCTCAGACACTCTGAAGGCCAACGCAGGATTCAGAAAAATACTACTGCCAAAGCACACTCTACCTAGACCATTTTCAAGGGAATCTGTGGCAAGAAGCCTGGATCTCCAGCTTCTGAAAAAAAAAAACCAGTAAGAGCAACGGGAAAGCATGGGAACCAAGGTTTCTCTTATGTGGAAACAATCACCATTTTACCTACTTTACTCTCATAAGGTTGTATGAACACATGCATCTTCATAACACTGACTCCACTGTCAGATGATTAACTTCTCATGCGTTGACCACGCTGCCACAGCATCAAGATTTAAAAAAAAAAAAAAAAAAAAACCCTCAAAAAATGCCTTTCTTCATCAAATAGCCCTCAGCTGTGCCTAGCAGAGGACTGGGGCACAACACTTCCACAGGTACCTGTAATCCGCGGGGCCGGGCTGAACTGCAGCAGCTTCTGTTCCCACTTCTCCTCCAGGTCCTGAGCCATAACAACCGTTCTGCCCAGCTCTTCATCTTCATCATCATGCAAGCCTTCCTTCCTCCTTCTGAGCTGCTCCTCCTCCTCCAGCTTGCGGATTTCGTGGTCAGAGTAGTGGCTTTTCTCCAGCTCTATCTGTAAGGGCATCATAAAGACCACTCGGCCACCAGCACAATCAGAGATCGTTAAGGTTGGAAAAGACCTCCAGGATCACCCAGACCACCCCCCACCGTGCCCGCTAACCACAGCCCTCAGTTGCACATCTCCCATCCTCGAACACCTCCAGGATGCGGCCTGACTGCATTGAGAGCCCAAAACCGACCGCAAGACCCGAGGTGCCTCCAGCGGACCCCCCAGCCCCGGGGCAGCCATTTTCCTTCGGGCAGCACCCCGCTACCTGCTCCATGAGGGCCGCCATCTCCTCTTCCTCCTTCCGGAGGGGCTGCGTGATGCGGGGCAGCCTCAGCAGGCACAGAGCCCCGAAGAGCTTCCACGGCCGGGGAGCAGCAGCGGGAGAAGCGGTGCTCAAGCTCCGGCCGCACCCCGCAGCCCGCCACGCGCACGCCGCCATCGCGCTCTGGCGGAAGCCGCAGAGCCGCGAACTGGGCGCCGCCATCTTTCCTCCCAGCTCCCGTCGTGCCTCGCGCGGAGGGGGGGGACGCCGCTGGCGGGACGGGGTCACTATGCACGCCGCGCTGACGATCGCCCGGCAACGGCTGCGCGGCGCGGCCTGCGGGTGAGTGGAGGGGGGGATGTCGGCGTCCGGGGCTCCTCGGTGCTCGGTGGGCTCGGGATGAGCTCCGGGCGCCGTTCGCGCCCTCGCTTCCCCACGCTTCCCGTTCTTCCCGCAGCGCCGGCCTAGGCCGCGGCGTGCACGCAGGCGTGCAGAGGCTGCAGGAGCTGGCGGAGAAAGGGGCCGAGAGCCTGAGCGGCACCGAGCTGAGGTGAGCCGGCCGGCGTCGGCCTCGCACGGGAATACGGGGCTTCTGGCGTCGCTGCGTCCCTTCTTTCCTTCCCCAGATGGAAAGAGCCGGTGTCTGTTAATTGTCGTCTTGCTCCTCAGCCCCTTAATCCTGCAGAGGAACTCCATGAGGTGGGATGGAAAGACGTATGAAGAGATCCCGATAGCTCACATCAAAGCCACGTACAACAAGTGAGCAGACAGCTTCTCCTGTTCTGTGCAATGCACTTCAAGCTATGCATTTCAAATGAAAAAAAGAAAACAAAACAAAACAGGGAAGTTCATGACACAGAATGTAAACCTGAGCTGCCCAGAGAGCTGTGGGTGCCCCATTCCTGGAGGTGCTCAGGATCAGGGTGGGTGGGCCCTGGGCAGCCTGAGCTGGTGGGGGCACCCAGCCCCAGCAGGGGACTGGGGCAGTGTGGGCTTTTAGGTCCTTTCTAACCCAAACCATTCTGTGATTCTGTGAAATGGAAACGGTAAAATGCTTACTGTGAGAAGTGTGTGTGAAAGGGTTGGCTGTATCTTTGGGACAGTCAGTAGGAACAGGCTGTCCACAAAGGTTCTGCCATCTTGGATTCTCCACCATAACCCCAGAGTTCACTGCTGGGAGGTCCATGTGAGTAGAACTGATGTGCCTTGAAAGAGATCATATGGCTTTGAGAAGGGAGACAAGTTCTGTGGTGGAGCCATGCATTATGACAGTAAAATCCTCTTCGAGCTTCTTTCTTTCTTTTGTCCCTCTCTTGCTGTAGTACCCACATCCAAGTGGTCAGCTTTGACAACAGGCCGTTTGCCCATACATCCTGTGGCACTGAAGGTTTCCAGAATGCCAAGAAGGCAACTGCCATTGCAGCACAGACAGCTGGCATAGCGGCAGCAACGGTGAGTTTGCACTGCCTGTTGTCACTCTCCTGCATCCCCGTGCTACCTGGGTCCATGGGGAACAAGTGCAGTAGCTTCATTCAGGAGAACAGAGCAGGGCAGAAGACAATTTGCTTCTTGTTCACTTTGCTGTCCCTTGCTCATGAGCAGCACTGCAGACCTTTGCTCATTAACACTCAAGCAGCACACTGCCATTTGCTGACAGCAAGCATCTTCACACTGGCAAAGTCTGTTTGAAACATCAGATAAAAATGCTCAGAAAGTGAGCTTAGCTGTGCAAGCACTGACTGTAACTTGTAGCCTATCATTTCCTAGCTCGTTTCATAGCTCTTTCATTGAAAGGGAACATACCTCAGTCATTTTGGAAATATAAGCCCTTGACTCAGCAGCAGTTTAAATTCGTGCTGTAGGGAATTGAGAAGTGGCTGTAATTACTGGCTGAATTTTTTGTATTTGTTCTCTGCCACAGGAGAAATGAGCTTCTGCCAGCACTTCTAGTCAGAGAAGGTGATGTCCACATAGATGTAATTTCCAGATGCATACAATTTAATGTAAAAAAAACTATGTAGGTGTCCAGGTGACAGGGAAAAATGAGGCTGGCTGTGTTACAGTTCTCATTACAGCAAAGTAAGGCAAGGTTAGACTGAAAATCCTCATCCTAAACTACGTGGAACCTTTCATGTCAGAGGTGTTCTGTGCCACTGCTGGCCAACAGCTTATTATGGTTGATTCAGGGGAATATAAGAACACTTCCACTATTAGTCCTTGCTCATTGGAGCCTCATAAAAGCTGCATAACAGTGGTTGGCCAGATTTGTTCCTATTCCTGTTGAAGTTTGTAGTAGATTAATTGCACCTGAACACAGAAACTGAGACCCAGAGGAGCTCCACTTGGTGGCAGCACTGCTCTGCTTTACAGTAGGTGTTTTTCATTTTCAATTTGCAAGCCCCTAGAATTTTTACACTGTCACTGTGGACTCCTGCACAGTGAATATAAAGCTTGACTGCTTTTCTCATTTACCCTCTAGAAGGAATCCACTGATCACAAGATAAAAGTCACTGCATTAGATAAGGGAAAACAGCTTTGAGATGCTCCTTGTTAGTCAGGTATCCATGGATATGTCATTTTCTGTCCTGTCTTTAGGTCATGGATAGTTTGATGTCAGACTTTCTCTGTATGCAGAGTTGACAGCTTAACACAAGTTTCCTTCAAACTGCCACTGTTTATCCAGGGCTGCTTTTCTGCTGGTGTCTCGTTCTGTGCAGCGATCCCCATCTATCTTCTCCATATCCACTACCACCTGCTTTTTATTTTTACTTAAAGAATACTAGGGAATGAAGGAGCCCAGGGGAGGCAGAACAGTGGCAGATTTGTCAAAGAGAATACTGACCAGTTCTTCCTTTCTCAGAAAGCACGTGGAAAAGGTGTACTGCATGTACGAGTCATGGTGAAAGGACTGGGGCCAGGACGCAAAGTAGGTGTCAGTTTCCTTTCGTATTTTTTTCCTTCTCAGACATCATCCACGTTGTGTCTTTTTTCTCTTTTAAATTGAGGCTGGTCTCATGACAATACCGATTAACTTGATTTATTTTTCTGAAGGTGATACAAAGAATTCATCACTGAAATGCCTAGTGAAGAAAACATAGAATAATAAAAATTTCAGAATCACTTCCTTTGGAGACAGAATAAAAGCTGTATTTGTTTTCTAGCCACTTAAGCACCAAAGCTGATGGGAATTCTGATGAAAGGAGTGGAGAGAGAGGTTTAAATTGTTCCTTCTGATATTAATACTACAAGATAATTCCAAAGCAGAACTATTGAGCAAAGCTGATTTTCACAGGGGACCAATCTTTTTGCCCCTCAGCCTTTTCCCTTTTGTGCTCTGCAGTGTGTTGATAATAGTATATCATCTGCTGCCTTGCTCTGTTCCAGGCTGCCATCAAGGGGCTGACTATGGGAGGTTTGGAGGTCATCTCCATCACCGACAACACCCCGGTTCCACACAACGGCTGCCGCCCTCGGAAAGCCAGGCGGATGTGAGAAGGGAACGGAAGAGACACTGCGTTCAGTATTAGCTCTGTAACAGGGGCTGGGTTGGAAAGCCATCCTCCCTGCAATTTTTTGATGAGAGAAGCTTTAAGAAGACCATCCTGGGCCTTAGAAGCCCAAGGGGTAGAAGAAGCTGGTGGTAAATGCAGGAATACGTGTAATTCCTTAGTGGGAAGCCTCTTGTGTGTAAAGTTTGTTGATTAAAATGTTGGTCTTTTGACAGTCATTCCTGCTGTGTTTCTAGAAGTATTTTGGGTTGTTATTGCTTCTCAGCTGCTCTCTTCCTCTTTCCACAGTATGTGGCTCTTGTCTAGCCTTCAGTGCTATTACTGTTCTTGTTAGGTACAAGGGGGAACATTAGCTATGTACTAAATCAGATCTCCTTCAGTCTTCTGTAGTAAACAACTGCATGGGGTCACTTCATCTTCCTTCTGTCTTTCCCTTACTGCACACATTTGGAAACTAGGCATGGGGTAACACTTTTCCACCTGGCTTGCAGAGCTTATTGTGGTGTGCGTGAAGCGACTCTCACCATTCGCACAGCGTGGAGCGGCACAGTCAGATTCCATTACTGTCAAAGGTCTGCTGTGGTGCTTTGTTGCAATCACATTGTAGCCAGCCTGTCGGTGCTGCTGGCAAATGGAAAATGCCAGTCCTTCGAAAGGGCTGGGATTGTGCCAGGTTTGCTGCTTGCAGTCCCCTTGGTTCTGCCTCGTGCACCACAAACTGGATTTGCTAGAGCTCCTGGGGTAAGCAAGCAGGGGGTTAGGCCTGAGAACAACAAACTGCTGCCAAGAAGATTTAAAACATTTTCATCTTGAACTGTGCTTCTGTATATCCACGGGCAGCATGGGCTTGTCATGAATTTGTGATGTATTATTGCTGCCCTACCTCCATCCAGAGAGAATTGCAGCCAAACAAATATGTCTGAGTCTCTTCGGAACGTTAACCAAAGAAAGTAACAGCAGTAACTGACTACAAGCTCGATCTTCTGGATGGCAAAAGCACACTGCCTAGCATAGGGCAGCTCCTTGAAATCCATGCTGCCCGAAAATCAGTCCTTTGCTACATACAGCATACGCTGGGCAAACATTTCACTTGTAAACAGTGTATTCTGGTGCAGCCAGCAGTTTTATCACAAACCCAGAATCTTCCTTTCTATTATTTCTCTTTGTCGTTCCTCCTTCGTTTCTTAAATTGCATAATTAACTATTCTCTTTCTCTTTAGAGAAAGGGTACCATGGCAACAAGGCAGTGAACCTCCTTCATGGGGCTGAATGGCATACAGCAGGTTTTGAAAGAAATCAGTCTGCTTAGAAGAGCCTGTTGAGTTGCATTTGACAGAAGAGAATAAAATAAGATCCAGATGAATCCCTTACCTTACTCCAACTGTCTGAATTTGAATAGAGGAGAAGTTATCTTGAAGGGAAGTTCCTTGAGCTGTCTCAAATTTGACAGCAAGGAAGAGAGATTCTTCATAGATGTCTGACAGACTAGAAGAGCTTCCCCGTTGCTCCAGAAACATGGCTGGGCTTCTAGTGACTCCATATTACTCTTTTTAAGGAGAAGATACTATGAACCACAAAGATTAACTCTGACTCTCTGGGCAGCTAGCTGGCAAAGGCAGCCATGAGCACTGGAGTGCCTCGCAGCAGACTGCTTTCTGCACAGCACTGTAGTAGCCCTGACAAAGGAGGAGCACGAGTCAGTGCTGGCAGGCTTGTCAGTGATGCACTGCATCACACACACTG